GGAAAAGAGAAGGAAAAGAATAAACAACAGTTTATCCGCAGACAACAGTGAAATGCAGCCCGCAGGAGACTGATCCACCGGTTTGCATGAAGCCGTATGGAGAGAAAAAGATGCTTGTGCGCATGTGAGTAAAAGTCATTTTACTCTGAAGAAACCATGCTGTTTAAACCCTGCGACACCAGGACTGTATAAACATAGGTGAATATCAGAAAGTAATTACAGTAATACAAACATACCTTGTACTTTAAACGATAAAAATCAGAATGTTGCTGGATTGTAGTCTCCAAAGCTCTGATCCACCGGTCTCGTTCCTCATAATCACGAGCTACAATGATAGCCTGACGCAAAACAATGAAACCAGTGAAAATTTTAAAGTTACTGAAAATTAATGATCCCGCCACTGCAAAAATTTCCAATAGCCATGGAAAACTATCAGAAGCAATCATGATTACGCTGAGAGAATATACGCGACTTTAGCTCAATGCTAAAGTGAAAAAGTCTGTATGAAATACTTGACAATAAACTGCCTTCCTCCTGAAATCGACTGTGCAATAATTCAATTCAATCACACAAACCTAATGTATCTGGCGTGGACTTTTCGTTTCAATCCTGTCTGCATACTACAAGATATGAACGGCTCTTTCAAAATTTATTCTTGCTGACAAGAAAAAGAAATACCTGAATTATATTGTCGTATACGAGGTACGAGGGTTAAGTATACGGCAATGAGTTAGTCTGTGACGATCAGATGATATATATAGACTGACAATACTATGTGTAATCTGACTGAAAGTTCTTGCACCAGGGTTAAAAGTCCTAAGAAGAATTCATCCAGCGATTCTCAACACAGAAAAATAAAATTAAACTACATATGATCTCAGAAATCCTGGAAAATGGTTTGTTTTATCGATGCAAAATAAGAAGTACTTCCATTGCTCTGATTTATTTTGTTCCATAAATGTATCTAATAAATATCGGGATAATTTCCTTTAATGTCTTGTCAGAACCAACGTGCCATTTGGTCAATTAAAATGCAATATGGAGAAGCGCCATAAAGAATAACATACAGTCGCGGAAAAAGATCATTTCGGCTTTGACTATGAAGGGAACGTTTCAACAGCAATCTAATTAGCGGGGTAACGTTGTCGAAACATCGAATTTATGTAACCTGCAGATATTTGCATCCATCAACCGTTTAATTTACCAT